GAAAGTTTTAAATCGAGTTTATGAACTCAACTTAAAGCGACATTTGGGGGCGTCCATAAATTACGTGATATGTTTAAGCGGGGCAGGGGGTCGAGTCAAATCTCATCTAATCTTACGTTGGAAAGAGGGGGGTCTCGGCAAATATCACGCATTTTTTCTGGTTGAAAGAAATAAAATATATTCTATTTTGGTCCATATAATAATCCACATTGTACATGCTTAAGATTTAATCGGAATAATCGTAATAATAAATAAGGCGTAATCGGAATACACTTTTACTAGTCTTAATTAGTCGTTAATAAAAGCACGACCAATTTTTTTTTCACAACAGACTTGTGCTTTCTGCTTTCACAAAGCCCGCATCCATAATAATTAGTTAAAAGTGTTTTATTGTAATATCAAGCAGGTACAGTACTTTATTTAGAGATTCTCCATTTTTAAGGAAGGCAAAGGGAATAATGCCCATACAGCCTAGTCTAACTAGATAAATCTTTTTCTTTTACATTAGAATGTCAGTGTGACGCAATCTAATGTTTCTTGGAGTGCTTGGCACAAAATTCATCAATTTGTTTTTTTCGATAAGCTACTGTGAGGTAGTCAAAACTACAATAAAGTTCTCACGTCCACTTGACCTAAATAGGGTTTATTTTAAAGAGACTAATAATTCTTCAGTTGCACAGACGGTTGTAACACAAAATCACACCAATTGTATTTCACAATATACACCATGAACGAATTTAACAATTAATAAATTAAGACGCTAACCGTTATCGATGAAATCTCGCCAAGAACTTCAGGCACAGATTACAATTAAGAGAACAATTTTTTGTAAGATTCTCCCTTTTCAGGGAAGGCAAAGGGAACAAGCTCATACAGCCTATATGAGAACAAATCATTTTAAGGCGAACACAAGACACTGCGGTCCGAATTGCGAAAACGCTGCCAACGTTATGAACAGTGCAAATGATAGGTTCGAATTAAATACGGTTTGATGTGCACTGTTCGCGCGCAATCAATTCGCACTTTAATTTGTGTTTGCCAATTTTTTTAGTTTTTCAAATAGTGGGTGGTTTGAGTATTGTGCAATATTGAATAATCATCTATCACTCATTAGCTGGCGTCTAAGATGATGCGAGGGGGTTCAAGGCATTCTACCTACATGGCTACATTGATGATAACAGCTAGTATTAGATCTGCATTGTGTGTGACGAAAGCACTCCCAGCATTGATTAGTGGGAAACTTGTAAATTGCTACGTTTATAGACATATTGGTGTCGAAGTCTGGCATGATTCTCTAAACCTAAACTTAAATTTGACAACAGTGGTGCCAATTCTGGCGTGATTCTCTAAACTTAAATCTAAATTTAACATCAGTCTCTCCTTTTCATGCTGTATAGAGAATAACAAGGATACACTGTTGTCAAATTTAAGTTTAGGTTTAGAGAATCATGTCAGAATTGATACCAGTGTATCCTTGTCATTCTCTATACAGAGTGAAAAGGAGAACCTGATGTTAAATTTAGCTTTAAGTTTAGAGAATTATGCCGGAATCGACACCATTGTAGCAATAAATCTTTTCAGGAAGTTTTTGACCTTGAAAAGTTACTACCACTGTAGTTATATATGACCATGTTGTCATTCCATCCACATATGACTTTTTACTAAAGCGCCTAAGTTTTATTACAGGACCGCAATTGGCTAGTTGACTCATTCGAATTGTATTAAATAAATGTTTATTTCTTAAAGTATTTGGTCTAAGGAACCTAAATATATCGATTTCATTTCATAAAAGCATAAGATTGCTGTAGAAATTTAATTTTAAAAATATTTTTAGTCTATATTTTTTAAACACTAAAAACGCGTGTGACGACTACGGCCTTAAGGTGAACCCAGTGAAGACGGAATTGGTCATGTTTACGAACAAAAGATCATTAGGCGACTATCGGCTACCGAAACTATTTAACACGACACTGCGGCTCTCCAACGAGGTAAAGTATCTAGGAATAACCTTAGACTCCAAACTGAACTGGGGATCCCACATAGACAAAACTACAATGAAGACCAACATCATTTTCTGGCAATTTCGCAAAATGATTAGCAAAACTTGGGGACTATCACCGCTCATTGTTAAGTGGCTGTACACGACCATAATTAGGCCCATCATCAGCAATGCAGCAGTAGTATGGTGGACCAAGACAATCCAGGTAACGACAATTAATAAGTTAAGACGTCTCCAGAGGCGGGTATGCTGTGCAATCACCGGCTGCATGAAAACCACTCCCACATCAGCACTGGAGACAATACTTAACGTGAGACCACTCCACTTGTTTATACAACAGGAACCTCCATGTACAGCCACGCGCCTAAGCATGCTGGGGCTTTGGAGAGACAACAACTCCCCGCTCACCAGCATCTTAGCAGACATACACAGGCACTTTCCGTACTTTGCAGCAGTAAACGATCTTATTCCCAAGACGTACGACGTATTTGACAAAAAATACAAAATTCAACTTTATGAAGACACCCCGGACCGTTGTCTGCATAAGGAGTTGAGGGTCTACACAGACGGTTCAAAAACCAACTGTGGTACGGGCTCGGGTGTCTTCTCCGAAGACCTGAATATACACATCTCGACAGCTTTGGGTGCCTATAACACGGTCTTCCAGGCAGAGTGTGTGGGCATCATCAGAGCTGCTGAGGCGATAGAATGTCGCGGGGTAAGAGGAAAACATATTCGTATTCTCTCTGACAGCGCTTCTGTCCTACAGGCACTGGACAACAATATAATGACATCAGGCTTAATTTACGAATGCCACAGTAAGTTGACTAATATTGCTAACGACAATAGATTGACCTTACAGTGGATTAAAGGACACAGCGGCTCAAGGGGTAACGATGCGGCGGACTGCTTAGCCAGGGAGGGGTCTGGCAGGACCGCCATTGGTTCGGAGCCAATTATACCCATACCCTATCGGCAGCTGCGAACCTGGATAAGGGAGCGCTCTCAACGACAACACGACGATTACTGGTCAAAACTCACGGACTGCAGGCAAGCCAGGGAAGCCGTTCCTAAGGTAAACCTGCAGCTAACACGTAAGTTAATCAGACTACCTAGATAAGCCCTGAAACAAATCGTGGGTATACTCATGGGTCACGGCTACTTCAACAAACACCTTTGTAATATAGGTATTTCTGACAGCCCTCTGTGCAGAGCCTGCCTGGAGGCGGATGAGACGAGCGCCCATGTCCTACTGTAGTGCAGGGGCGTTACAAGACAAAGGACTTCTCTAATGGGAAGCCCGAAGACAATAGTAGAGGCCTGCAGCAACATTCGGGGACTGCTGAGCTTTCTGGAGGAGCTGGGATGGCAGGACTGATGCCAATCCCCACGCAAAATAGGCACTAGGTGTCGAGTTGCGGAAACAGCCCGCCCTACTACTAAGACTAAGACACTAAAAACGCTGTTCGCCACATCCGCCATGATTGTGACGTCTCTTGTTGTAGTAAATAACTAAATGTCATTCGCGTGTTACTGTGGGTGGATTCTTTCGTCTGACTAAATTTATCCTATGCAAAAAAAAGGCTGTATGGGCTGAGTTCCCCTTGCCTTCCTTAAGTAGGGTAAAACAAAAACAATGAAGCAAGAAAATACATACTAGGGGTGTAAACTTAAAAAATGTATCGATACATGCATTCGATATAAAATATCGGAAAGTGATATCGATGTTTTTCGATATATCGTTTGAAAATATCGAATATTTTTCACAAGTTTAATTTACTATGAGTATTACTTTGATATAATTATAGATACTATTGAGACGGTGGTGAGATGATTTTTGTACATTTAAGTGAAACGCTAAAAATTTATAGTCGAAATATTTTATTACAATAATACCCATTGAAGACCATATTTAATGTTCTTTAGGTAGACTTTGTAGGAATAAAAGTTACTTAGTCTTTTGCCTTTCATTCTGTTTCTTTGTTGGTTGGCTATTTGAGCAGCCTTTGAAAATAACCTTTTAGATCTTGCAATATTTCTAATATTTAAATCAATTTATAATAAAAACATCGTTAAGGTTTCTTAATTACACAAAGAGTGAGTTAATGTGCAGATAATTTTGAAAGAAGTATTTGCAAAAAATATAAATTTTTAAAATTATAATCTTAATCGTTTTTTTAGGTAACTCAAAATTCACAGTATTTAATATAAACAGGACACCACTGTTACCAACAACATGTAATTAGTGAGAGACAGAGAACGGAGGCCTTTTATCCCTTTCTAATAGGATGATCCTAACTTTTATTAATGGGAATTCAAATATTAAAACAAACAAGGAGAAGTCATGCAGAAGAAGGGGTAGATAAAATATACCGTCATGAACATAAAGCACGTGGAAGGCATATTGTTTGTTGATTTTTTTATTTTTTGGGAAATGTTTCTGGGATTATGATCTATAAATTCAATATATCCCACTTCTGGTATGTATATGATACATTTCATTAACACTTGGTTTGCCCATCTCCTTTACTTTAGTTTTATTATCATTATGACTCACCGTTACTTCTTTCGATTCGATATTTATATATCGAATAATAAATAAATATTTCCAACACTCACACCAATTAGCCTAACCCCAAAGTAAGCACTGTAAGGCTTGTGTTATGGGATATTAGGGTAACGGATAGAATACATATACTGTACATATATAAGTATATTTATTTAGAAATACATATTAAACATCCATGACTGGAGTACAAATGCTCGTATTCATCACACAAACATCTGCCCCCACCGGGATTTGAACCCAGGACCTCTCGAGTCGGCGACATCCCGGCGTACAAACTACTCGGCCACGGAGGTCGTCAAAATAAAAAAATCTTTATCAAAACATCGATTCACTCGATATATCGTATGATAAATATCGAATTAATTCTATATATCGATATGAAATGAATATCCTTAGATACGTAGTTTACGTAGTATCTGAAATCTAAATAGTCTGTGTACTAGTTTGAGTTTGAAAAATAAGCAATGACGTAAAATAACTTTATAACATTTTGTAATACGTAGGTACCTACATAAAATCTCTAACTCTTGATGTGCGAATTAATTAACTATTAAATACAATGAGCGACCACTCAACAATAACCTCAAAATTCAAAACTTTGAAATATAAAGTTTCGGCTGCATCGCTAAAAGCAGTGAAAACTATGGGGTATAAATATATGACTGATGTGCAGGCAGCAGTGCTGCCAAAAGCATTAGACGGAGTTGATTTAGTAGCAACTGCTAAAACTGGATCTGGAAAGACATTAGCTTTCTTAATTCCTTTGTTAGAAATTGTGGTAAAACATTTAAATAATCACATACAAGGTAAGTTTTAATATAAATAATACTAATATTTTGTAGTACTAGATAAAACATATTTTCATAACTTTTTTTTAGCAACAATTGGTATAATTATATCGCCTACAAGAGAGTTAGCAACCCAAACTTACACTGTCTTGCAAGAATTCATCTTTCAACATGAAAATATAAAAACAGCTTTAGTGATTGGTGGAGAAAGTAAGAAAAAGCAAAGTATGGAATTATTACAAGGTGATAAAACTTTGATCACTATTATAATTTGCACACATTCTTTAACAATTATTTATGAACAAAAATTTTCACAATTTGTAGCAAGTTGCAAAATAAATGAAATAGATTTTTATAGGAATTTCTTGTTATTAATGTTTCAGGAGTCAATGTTGTGGTGGCGACTCCAGGAAGACTTTTTGATCATATGAGAACTAAACATTTTGATTACAAAAATGTTAAATGTTTAGTATTAGATGAAGCTGATAAAATATTTCAATATGGATTTGAAGAAGATCTAAAGCAAATAATTAATCGCTTACCAAGTAAGACCACCTTTTACTACAATGAACTTTTTATACAATGAATAAGTAAATCACAGTTTTATGCATTTTTTTTTGTTTTAGAGGAAAGGCAAACTTTGTTATTCAGTGCTACTGTTTCTGACAGAACTGATGCTCTGATTAGATCTGCAATGAAAAATGATGTGGTTTCAATAAACACAAGTGAAGATAATATGAAAGCAACAGTTGAAGGCCTGAAACAGGGGTGTGTATCCAAGGATGAAAATCTGAATAAAATTAATTCATAGAGTAAACTGCATGCACTATTTTCTCTACAGATATGTAACTTGTGAAACAGAGTACAGGCTGTGGTGGCTGCATAAAATGTTAATGAAAACACAAAAACAGAAAGTCATGGTATTTTTTTCAAGCTGCAAATCTGTTGAGTTTCATCATGATTTCTTCTCAAATCACTGTAATATGTCAGTTTTATGTATCCATGTGAGTGGTCAATTTTTATCTTTAGTATTTATAAATAAATACACAGTAATTATTCAACATGACACTGTACTTCCAGGGAAAAATGAACCAAGCTGACAGAACAGCAACCATTGGGAATTTTTATAATGCTGATGCTATGGCATTGCTTTGCACAGACTTGGCAGCAAGAGGTCTTGACATACCGGCTGTAGACTGGATTGTACAATTCGATCCTCCATCAGACACAAATGTAAGCCCAAATAAATGAAACCTTGCATTTTATTTATATACTCATCAAAAAAAAGTTGAAGCAACATGTAGTAAAGGTTTTGAACTTTTGAATGATTTTTACTATTGTAATATGTTTATATTAAACTATGTATAATAGACATATTCGATAACTACCTATCTTTAAAATTAGCCAATTATATTTTCGAGGACAAAAAACACTTTACTAATCTACTTTGCTAAGAAAAAAATAAAATATCAATTCATAAAACATAGTTTCTGAAAATGGTGCATGTTCCTTAACCTTTTAGTCTTTTTTGACGTGTGTAGTTAATTGTGTTACCTTTAAATATACATGTTTGGCCTTGAGGTTTTGTGTCACTGACACACTACCTTAATTAACTTTTATGTTTTTTAAATTGTAGCTTAACAATCGGGTAGCTTGAAGCTATAGATATAGCTATTTAAAGACAATTTTTAAAGTGAAAATTTTGTTATTGTAGGAATACATACACAGAGTGGGTAGAACAGCAAGAGGACTAGGCACAACGGGCAATGCTGTACTATTATTGAGACCTGAAGAGGAGGATTTTGTGAACTACCTTAAAGATGCAAAAATTTATTTAGACAAATATGAAAGTTGGAATGCATATTATAATTTACAAACAAAGGTACACATCATTTAAGATAAGAATAAGCTGTGTGTATCTTTCTGGCTGAGCTACCATTTCATTTGCATATAAATTGGAGATCATATTGTTTGTGTAAAAGTAGTCTTTAGATTGTCATCTCAGTAGTAGTAGAACAAGATTGATGGGTGTTTTGTGGGGCTGCGAGAATGATGTTAAGATGCACCGTTGCACTAACTAAAATTGATATGATGGTGCACTTAGAACAATAAACATGAATTATCTGATTCAAAGTTAATTAGTTTGTTTATATTTTTAGTTAGATGCAGCTATGGAAAATATAGAATTCCGTACATTAGCGATCGACGCTTATGAAGGATACATCAGAGCTCTTGAAGTTAGAAAATTAAAAGATATATTCAACCTCCTAACAATAGACTTGAATAAAGTGGCCAAATCATTTGGTTTGAAAGAAACACCAGAGATTGATATTCGTAAGTGATTATATTCATAAATAGTTTGTCTTTATATTAATAATAATCGAAATTAAGTAATGTTTAATAATTTGTTATATAACTTTTATCCATCATATTTAACTCATTGTAAAGACAAAATTATATGATACAGTAATCTTGTAATGCGCCACTTGTACGAGCGAGAGAATCGTGGCAATATTATTGTCGTGCTATACACTCTTAAACGTGTTTTCACATGGTGATGTTGTCTCTAGTTATTTTCATGTGTCCACTATGCTATTCCATTAGGGCCGATTCACACCGGAATCGCGGCGACGCGACGCGCCGCGCCGAGCGCTTTCTCGCTGAAAGCAGTGTGAAATAATTTTAAACTCTCGATATTCTTAAAAGACTAGTATGTCTTATATGGATTCCGCTGTGAACGTGCGACTTTTCGAGTAGTTAAAGTTTAAAATTATTTTACACTGCTTTCAGTGAGAAAGTGCTCGGCGCTTTGTTACCGGCCGCTGCCATTCCGGTCTGAATCGCTCCTGGTACACAGTGGAAAATAAATTTTATCATCTTTACTTTCGGCCACGAAACAGTGTAACTAAAGACATAAATTATCTTAATAGGGCGTTATGATATAGCCCTTCCATCTGTCAAAAGCAGTTAGCGAATAGCTCTGCAGAGTCAATAATTGTGGCAGAGTAGAATCAAAATGTCGTCTTGCACCCGGCGCAGACAAAATATGGACTTCTCGTACCGAGTATTGCTGTGATGTAATGAGTACATTCCAACCCCCGTAGCATGAGCACTACAATTTATATTATATCACGTTTTGAAACTCCATAGTTATTTGATAATTGAGCGTGATAAATGCTAGGGGGGCAGAACGAGTCGTGTTGATACGCTGACGTAATAATCTTTGTGTGGTTGACATTACCTCTACGATAGGAGTACGGAGTCGTTGCGATTCTCTCGCTCATGGAGATGGCTCATAGGAATTTTGGGCATTTATTTCTAAAAACATTACAACTAAAATATTGAAGGTGTGTAAACAACAAAACATTAGATTACTTCGACATAAAGAGTATCTATTTTGTACTTATTTGAATACTCTGGAAACTAGTTATCTAGTACCTTTAGCATAAAGGCGTGTTGAAGGCATTCCCAATAATAACAACTCCACTGTTAAAGTATTCAAATAAGGTTAAATGCCACACTTGTTTCATGAATGACTGATGAAGCAGTCTTTAAAAGTATTTTTTTTCATTTCAGGAATAGGATTTAGTAAAAAACATAGACCACGGAAGAAAATGGCTGCTATGCTTGCAGCAAAATCTGATATTCCAACAAAACGCATGAAAAGTTAATATGTAGTAACTAAATTATATGTTAATAAATTATATCAATTTTTATATTTTTTTTTATTCATCTTTACCCAAATCAATTAATAGGAAATTATTTATCAAATCTATACAGAGAATGCTATGCATTGACTAGATTAATAAGAATGCTTTGTAAAAAAAAGAATTTCCAAATTAGTACATAGGTATAAGTATCAGTTTTTCAAACGGAATTTTATATTAAAAATAAATTATAGGAACTTTACATTTTTAATACATACTAAGGTTATTTACACAATTATTTCGGAGAAACATTCATTTCATAAATGTTGTTTCTTACTAATTTCTCGTAACAATCTTCGTGGTTGTGTTGGTGATTGACTGCATAAATCATTGCGTCTATAGTTTCCACCGTCGCTGGGCATCGGTTGAGTGAGAAATACTGAACACATCTCCAGGAAGTCTTGCCATGGGTGGTTGAATGTTTCGTGTAAACAAAGTTCATGTGCACTAATTGTTTGTGTCCTTTTCTACTGTATATATACTTGTAGCGGACGGGCAACTGCAAACTGTCACTCGATCCATTTACCACAAGTGAAAGTGCACCTAGAAAAAAAAACAAATGCATAATAATTATAATAGATACGATGAACCAGTTTAGTACCTTAAAAATTTCACTTGTAGCAATATGTTCAATTATTATAACTTAAATCTACTGCGAAGATAACAAGATTAATATTAACTTTAGCCTAACATCTCTTGATGAATATTTTTGTTAGGGCGTGGTCGATTTTGCTAACACCAATGAGGCCGATTGTCTATTCAAAAACATGACAACCAAAATATTTTATAGGCAGCCATATCAAGTTACCACAAACTTGTATTTGTTGTAACTTGATATAGATTGTGTGCCTTATTTCAAACATTATGAAGCTCAATGTCAATTGGAGAGTTAGGTATAGTTTCGGAAAACTTGACCTAACCGGCTCAACATGAATTTTTTAAACTTGGTTGCTGCTAACTTTCGCTAGTGTAACTCATATAACCGAAATTATAACACAACAAAGGTATTTTAGGCTCAAACTAAGCAGTAGTTGACCTAAAGGAAACTAATTATATCATATTTAATTGATACATATTTATATAAATAAACAATCATGACATGGGATCAAATGTTTTGTGCTCATCATACATCATTATTAGTACTGCCGCATGTTATATATTGTCACAGACGCTCTCGACACAAAACAGCGAAAATACTAGACAGATTTAACCAGAACACCGGCCGGTCGCTCATTCTAATATGAGCCTTATGAAGTGCGGCGTAAGGGAGAACGACATCTGCACTTGTTTACAACTTATGCGCGTTACCTACGTATAGCCTACGCACTCGCAGGTGCTAGTTAACTCTCAATTTAACGGGAATTTTCTAGAATGCGTCGATTGGCGTATATAAGAGCCATTGGCGCGCGGCGCCGCGCAGTAGACAGTTTTACTTTCAAGGTGATAACGGCGATAACAGTTGAGTTTTAACAGCGATTTCAGAACGAATACAAAGGCGATCAAAGTGCAAGTAGGGTTCAAGTGCGATTGTTTGAAGGCTTGTATAGTGAAGTACAGTGTTTAGTGAGTATTGTGATTATCATTTTGTGTTGACTGTGTAAACTGTGTGGTGAGTAAAGTACTGTCAAGCGTGAACTGGCATATAATTTCGAACCCCATCCCGACACGTAACAATATTATAACAAAAATAACAGACCACAGAAACGGTTTGCATAATGTGTGACTTGGAGCGGAAGGCAGGATTAAGTACTGGGAATCAATGCACCATTATCAGCCTATTAATATCCCCACTGCTGGGATCTGTCGGTGAGTAAGGTTCCAGGGATCCACGGGATAGGGGATTTGGTAAGGGTAGGCAACGGCGCGAGTGATAATATTTTTTGTATCGTAAGGCGCTTTGCAGACGACGGGGCGGGGCGGGCTTTTTGTCCGCGAAGCAATAAAAACCGCGTCTGCCCGTCGATGTCTGCGGCTGCTCTCGCCGCGTACACAAAGCACACGACGGGCAGAGGCAGTCAGTTTAGGACGTTCGTTCTACTGAATAGTCCATCACTAAAAAGCGCGTGGCACGGACTGAGCTAGCCGCCCCGCGCCGCCGTCTGCGTTACTGCATATAAACTGGTTTGTATGATCCACGGCGGGCAGCCGCGGACATGCCGCGCGGCCTGCGGCGCGGTCTTTTTGCCCTCTGTGTGCGTTTGTAGTATAGGATTCACCCTGTTTGCCACCCTTTTAAAATTAAAAACAAAACTCGACTGACGTAGACTATGCTCCATAAGGGACGGTACAATATCTAACGGAAAAGTCAAGCGTATCATCGTTGTACGCTCGACGCACTAACGCATCTTCGGTTGGGTGTGAAAGGTTGAAGGTTTTATTCAACGATATTAAATACCCCAGATACACCACGTGCGCTCAAAATGTATTCCAATCAAGAAGTGCTTAAACACAACTCAAGCACTTCTTGATTCACAGTCACTCACTGAGCTCAGTGAAAAAAGGCGAAAAACATACTTATAGTATGTAAAATGAGGTTTTTTCGACAGGTATCTAATCAGTGGTGTCGATTCTGACATGATTATCTAAACCTAAAACTTAATTTAACATCTGTCTCTCCTTCTCATTTTGTATAGAGAATGACAAGGATACACTGTTGCCAAATTTAAGTTTAGGTTTTAAGAATCATGATAGAATAGACACCAATGTTTGTTAATTTAACGCATTTGAAGTAAATTTTGTATTAGTACTTACTATAAACTGATTTAATAGAAAATATTTGTAATATATAAATGCATGGTCGGTAATATAGCCATCTCTTTTCCTCGCGGACCGTACCTGCTATATTGCTAACAGCGTATTTAGAATTGCGCGTAGAGTCAAAGAAATAAGGTCTATATTCTTCCGCATATAGTAATAAGTCGAAAAATTTTACGAACTTACATTTCGGAATGTCGTAACTCTTTAACGCATGCGTTTTATTAAAGACCTTATACAATTTGCTTTAAAGGTGATTTTCAATGTTTAAATAATGCCTTATATTGTTTAAATTACGCGATCAGCTTACGAAGCTCCGTGGATCGTCCAATGTACCTTGTGGACAGGTTTCGGGCATGATTTTGTTCGTGTTGGTGTATCTAGGGTATTTAATATCGTTGGTTTTATTGTTTAATTGCCTGTTCTGGCGTAACGCGACTGATAATACGTAACGTATTTTCGGTTTGATATGTACCGACCCTAAGTCGAAAGTATTGCCAATGGAAGTGTAGGCCATTCCTTAGCGGTTCTGTAGAGCAGAGCCGTCGTGGGCCTGTAACTACATAGGTGGGATGCTAAGCTTAGCCGACGGTTCCAGGTCTCCAGGCATATCAGATATGTAGTTTTTGAGAATTGATGTGCGGTGCGGTATATATAGGTACTGTAGAATAATAACGTGAGAACACAGCCTTACATAATATACTATACGATAAAGGTAGGAACAAACTGAGCCCACATACGCAACGTATGCAATGCAATGTGGGAGAGATGGTGTGCACACTTGGCCCACGTTTACGACGTATATTGACATCAGACGCTGTTGTCATATCTTCAGGTGCACAATGTTTTCTGAGTCTGACAGTGAATTCGAGCACGATTTATTGCGTTTGTTATTGAAGTTATACTTCTTTAGGCGCGTTATGAAAAAATGATGAGAGTGAAATTTTAAGATGCGCGCGCATCACTGTAACACAAAAATTATCGCTTTAGCGACCAACTTCATGCTGTTAAATAAAACTAGTTTATGCTGTTACTTTTGTGTTTACCGCACATTAAGAAAATCTACCAACAAAATAGAAATAGAATCTTTATTTAGTGGGTGCCAACGACTGCATTGTGAAGGCCTATCAAAAGTATTTATTAATCTGGAACAACGGAACCAAAGCGCGATTCAGGAGACTACAGCGCCATCTCTTGACCATTGGTGTAGTAGAACCAAAAACCACATCTTCATTTTTTGTAATAAAGTAACAGTTATAGGTATTCATATTTATAATATCAAAAGTATTTATTAATCTGGAACAACGGAACCAAAGCGCGATTCAGGAGATTACAGCGCCATCTCTTGACCATTGGTGTAGTAGAACCAAAAACCACATCTTTATTTTTTGTAATAAAGTAACAGTTAAGGTATTCATATTTATAATATTTATCCACATGTTTCTAGTTTGTATATTCGGAATACGTGTTTGAGTTTCATACAAGTGCAAATCACATATGTTCTAATAAATTATATTCAGTAGCGATTTTAATTGAATATTTTGATTATTTATTTATTTTTTCAAATTAAAACTGAACTTTATTGACTGTGTCCTTTTCCAGACTTTTTATTAATTTATTGTAATTAATTATTTGCATGCAATTAAAAACTAATTTTAAACGATGCGATGCCAAAGAAGGATAACTTCTCACGCGCCTACATAAGTACACGCACCCATTTTTTATTAAAAGTATATTTCCGCGCCAAAAAAAAAACAAAAAAAGAGTTAAGAGAAGATATTGGGTTTATGAGATAAATAAAGTGAGAGAAAATGTTGCTGAATACCATACATTATTAAACGAATTGGTATGTGATGAAGAGCGATTCTTTATGTACTTCTGCATGTTTAAAGTACAGTCTCCCATTTTTATTCAAGGTAAATACAACTCGCTACACGTCCAATCGGTGTCTGACGCGCTGCGAAAGTAAGATCTAGAAACTCACTAGTCGTATACGCGCGGGATAGCGTATGATTATCCCCTCCACGTTCCCACGCCGATCTGGCGCGATAGATCGAACGTTGCATGGGACGCGTGTGACAGCGTTGCGTATGACAAGTGTGTTTCCAAGTCATATGTTTTCATACAAATTTCGTAGTTTAGATGTCATAATGCGTAGCATACGTTGGCTCAGTTTGTCCCTAGCTTAATCGTATTATCGCGTGACGCGTTTAATATAAGTATTTATTTTTATTCTAGAA